TGCAAAAATGGGTCCTGATGCTGCAAGAGACCACCTGTTGGGGACATCCAGGATTCAGAGATGATTGATGTAGTCCTCTCAGTCTCCCTGACTGACCAGGGGACACTGATCAGTCCCTGCTTGTTTCCTTTCACCCAGGTGATCAAAGCAGGCTCCAGACAGGCTGGAGTAGAGCTCCCTTCAGCAGACACACCCAAGCAGATGGACAGTTACTTGCCAGGATACTGCACAGGGCTGTGGCAGATGCTTGGTGCTGCCTTCCTTTTGCTGAGGGTGAGAAACAGGCCTGTCTTCCATTCCTGTGTATCTCCTGTCAGATGCTGACCCCCTGTGGAATGATTTTTTGTTACATGTACGAGGCTACAAGAGTTGAGGAAGGAAGGCTTGCTTAGTCCCAGGTATCTGGGGAACCCAGAGACGACTTTTCCATGCTGGAAATTCATCCAACACTGTCACTTGCCCTGCCTCTCCCTGCTAACCATACCATGTGCAGCAGCACTGCCTTTTCCTCTCTTCCTGTCCTGGAAGGCACAAGTGTGATGGTCAGACATCTATGTTGCAGAAGACTTGTGAAACTGTATCTTCTACAAGATAACACAAATGCCTCAGGAAAATGCAGATACTAATGATGAAGCTCAGGGAAGAGCAGCCCAGAAGGACATCTGGTCACATCTGCAGCTTAAGCCCTGGTTTCAGAGGCCATCACACAGCATCTTCCCCAATGGTAGGGGCTCCTTAAACATTCTCTATAAAAATAAAAATTAAGAAAGTAAAACTAAATATATAAGCCTTGCTTGCCTGTGTCAGTATTTCAGACCAAGTCCAGTGGAATGTGACCAAAACATGTCAGTCTGGGGCCAATGTTTAATTTCACACTCACTGCTCACTCTCACTATTTCCCGATCGAACTGGCTCTATTGATAGATGGAGGATGCTCAGTGGAGCACCTGAAAACCTGTCAGGCATTTTTCCTCCCACCTCTCCCCCCATCATCAGCTGAGAAACTCTGCAGTTAGCACTGAGCTGACACTCTTTGTGACCAGGTGAAAAACTAGGTTCAAAGCAGGTCTCTTCCCTGGTGAATCTGACCCTTCCAGACCCCTTGCCCTCTAATATCTGAATTCCTTGCTTTCCTAGCACAAGCATCTGCAAGAAGCATTTCCTTCATCTGCAAAATAGTTTACAAGAGCACAGAGCAAATAAGTTTCTTGTCAGTTCTCCAATTTCCTATCAAACTGAGATCCCAGACAGTTTTGTTCATGCAAGCAGCTGGGCAAAAAGCGTGTCAGAGCTGTAGAAACATCATGTTTCATTATTCTCTCAACATCTCACAGAAGAAATCATTTCCACTGAACCATCTGGGGTGTGCAGCAGACACTGAAAATGTCAGATTAAATAGGAAAAACATTTCCATCTATGTTATCTGGCTAACACAGAAAGCAGTGAAAAGACCTGCTGTTCAGCGAGGAAAAGCAGGTAATTAAAAATCTGTAGTCATCTTAACCAGTCCCATGGGTTTTCAAGGGAAGGTCAGTGTAATTAGCCAACATGCCCAGCCAAGCCATGCTCAGAGGCCCAAAACTAATTACATTTTATAGGCCATAGCTTGTCTTGAGAGAAGCCTGTTCCTGAAAAGTTCCCACATATCCCTTCTGGAACCAGCTCTGCGACCCCCAAGCTCACCAAACAGATTCTGCACAGATGGAGCTTGGTACATCCAGGTGAGCTCCAAGGTGGTATTTGAAGAGCATGTATCCCTGGACATGCTCAGAACTGCACGGCTGCATTTGTGAATCAAAGTCACCCTTAAAGCCCAGCCAATCTTTTCTCTAGCCTCCTCCTGCTTTTAGCCAGTTCTGGCACTTGGAGATGGTAATTTTCCTCCAGGGATGTCAGGGTTTTCCTCCTTGGCCCTGCAAGTGAAAAAAACCCACTACTCACCTGTACAGATAGAGAGATCACCTAGGACAAGGGAGAGGAGCATGCTTAGTGTAAGCATCACCACTGAAACAACTCTTCTTTTGCTAGCATTTATATTCAAGATATAAAATCCATTCCCTGACCTAGCCTGAGTCCAAATTTCTTCTGCAGCTGGATGCTGGAAAGTGTGGAGCATAAGATATGAAGTTCCTCAGCCCATGGGGAAGAGAGGACAGTGCCTCCCAGCAAGGCATGGTACAGTGAGGACATCATGAACCACTGGGAGTTATTCTCCAGCTGGAAACAGAAAGGTTTTCCCCATCATCAGTCCTATGTTCACACTCACCCACATCTTCCTCCAGAAAGCTTAAAAATAGCATCCAGCACACATCCCAGCTTAAACACAGGGATGAGCAGCTGAGCTTCTTTTTTTCCCTACTGCAAAATCCTACCAGCAGGAGCCCACCAGCTCATGGAGGTTGGGCAATGCCCTGTGAACAGTGACACAGAAAAGAGGCTTTAGCATGTGTCACCTCAAGCCCTGGGTCCTGCCCCAGGGTCTGCTGTCCCAATGAACCATGACCCATGCCAGAGGGTCAGCAGGGAGACATTCAGAAGGGATTGCACTGTGGAGCCTGCAGGCTTGCTGCTTTTCTCACTCAAGAAGAGTCCTCCTCACCTTTGCTTGCCCAGCTGGGACAATGCTGCCCAGAGAGGAGAAACAGGCACCTGCCCTCCCACCTTCTCACCTGCAGGCCACTACCAAAGCTGAGTGGCAGGAGATATGGAAAGGCTCAGCATTGCCAGCTGTGATCCAATTTAGGACACTTTCCTACTCAACGCTGCAGAAATTATATGCAAGTGGCCAGTGCATCCCACAAGGCAAGGGACACTAAATCTTCCCCCTCCTGTGTGAAGAGATAAAGCACCAAGATTCAAAACAGGATGCGTGTTGATTGGTAAATTTGACATTCTGAGGGATCCACACTAGGGATTCTAAGGCATTGCATGTTAACAATGAATACAAACAACCAAGCATCTTTAAACACTCACTGAGAGGTCTCCATGCCTTAGGCTAAGGAATACATCCTGAGTGCATTCACATCAGCAACAGCACTGGGTGGCCCAGACTGAGGGCTGCAGGGTGACCCAAATCCTCGCATGGTCATTTCCTTCCATAATTGCAGGAAACTGCCATTTCAGCTGTGTGCACAGGGAGGTGTCCATACCTGGCAGGAGTGCTGATACAACTTCAAGAATCCCAGAAAAACCCTGTAGGGCTACGACCCAGAGAGCAGCATGAGCAGGGAACAGTGTCCCAGGAGCTGGGAGACAAAGTCCATGTGAGCACTGCAAGCGTAGGCACTGCTAAGGAGAGCTACACTTCCCACGCAGTTGGCTCTAAATCCATTCCTGAAGACCAGAGCCAGGAAAAAGCCATGGGTTCATGAGCTGTAGCAGCAGCAAAGCTCCGACCCTACTAAGTTTCAGGAAGAATGCCCCCAGAATTGATGTATCAGATGCCAGCAAAGCAAGAGACTACGTGAAACAAGCACTTCCCTGATCACCTATTCACATCCAACATCAATGTTTGAAAAAGTCAGGCAGAGAATGCAGCTGAAAATGAGGACTCAGTGCTCAGCTGGCCCAGTCACCGCCAGCCAGTCAAGCAAAAAGACCTGAGAAGTGAAATGCTCTTGGCAGGGGAACTTCCACAAATGCTCTTAGCCTGCTGCAAATTCAAAGTAATGCAGCCCACAGCGGAAGGTGTTTAAATTAGGTCAGGCTCTTTTTGGCACTTCTCCAGATGGGATAATCACTCAGCAGCTTGTGAGCATGGGGTAATCTGTGCCATTCATTCATGCCTTTAGTCACTGGCACTGCAACATCTCCAGATTCAGGAGCTCCTAGCATTCAAACTCATCTTCTCTGGCACAGACACTTTTTTCCCACGAGCTGATGGTTAATATAAATACAACAAAGTGCTGGAAATGCCTCATTACGTCCATCTGCACCTTCACTTCTTGGCTAGACTCTTTTTGAAGGAGACCACAGTGCAATTACCCATCCTCAAGCTGAGAGGATGAATTAACAGAGGCAAACTCGCCTAAAACATGAGGGAATCCCTTCACTACTGCATTGTGCTCGTGTGGATGGAAGCCAGGGAATTATCATGTATGAACTGAGGGGTTAGAGAAGGACAACTGAAGGCACCTGAGCAGCCTGACCCAGGATTTCCAGGGTCAGCAGATGGAAACATGCAGAGTCACTGAGCTGGCTGGCAAGAAAAAACAGGCCACCTTCATGCAGAGCACTGAGAACGGGGTGACAAGGAGGGAAAATGGGGATTTATTCCTATTGGATCTGAGCACAACCCAGATACAGGTCTTTGGTGCCAGGCAACCAGCTCATCCTCCCAACATGAATCAAGGTGATGCCTAATGTTCACTGCAAGCTTGGCAGTGATCTGGCAATGATGGGAAGTGGCATTTCCCTTGTGGAGGGAAGAACAACCCACAGAAGATGGGGGTTGCAGCACTCCCAAGGAGCTGGACTTACTGTATCCATGAGATTTATGCCAAAAGGAAAAAGTTTACCTCAAAATACAGAAAACAAGAACTCAAGATAGAGCATTTCCTACTGTATCGAGACTGAAAAAACAAGAAGCAGCCCCATTGTTCACCTCAGCACCTTTACCCACTTCCCAAGACTCTCTTGACCTGGCACCTCCCCCCACTACCTGAAAATGTCATTTTTTTTCAACTGGAGCCTCCTCCTTCCTTAGAACAGAACAGTACAGCAGCAAGGATCCAAGACCATTACAGTCTCAGGACCAGCTTCAGCTAATCTTCCAAGATCCAGAGTTTTCCAAAGCAAAGTTCCTTCAGTGAAAACAGCTAAGGCTTCCATCTTTTACTCAAAACCAGAGGCCAGGCTAAGGGACAAGCAGGCATGGCTTGTCTCCTGTGATCAGAATCCAATTCCTTCCCATCCCATTCTTTGGGCAGGACAGCATAGGTGACAACTAGAAGCAAACCCTCCCTTCCAAGACAGCAGATCAAAGAAAACCACACATCATAGCAATTATTAATTAAGTTTTTATGTTTACAGTAGTCATTTAAACATGGATACCAAGGGGTTTTAATAAGAATTCTGATGCTGGAGTGAATTCATTGGGAAAGCTGTAGAAGACCAAAACAGCTGCTCTAAAATAATAATTCCAAAGAAGAAAAAGTTGAGATCATACTGTGCTTTAAAAGAGAAGTTACATGGTTTAATTTGCATAGCACAAGCATATGTCAGCAGCCAAGTTACAGGCATTGATAAAGCCCATCTCAATTTGTGTTATTGCCTTTTTCTTTTAAATCTGAGCAACTGGTTGCTGGTCTCTGCTGGAATCTAGGCAGGCTTACTGGCACTTGCTCTCCAGCAGCTCCACTTGGTTTCGCCAAGGAACATTCAACACTACAAAGTTGCAAATGGCGTGCTAAGGAGAGAAAGAAAAACATAGTTAGGAGAATAAGAGCATGAAATAGTGTCATTTACCACTGTTCTTCACTCCTGTGAAGAATCTCTAGATTTGCCCTCTCCAGAAAAGTACTCTAGAGCAGCACTCTTATGCTCAGAGCAAGTCACATTTCTTAATTAAATCCTAAGAAATAAAGCTGAGCAGTCAGCACTGCTGAGGATCAGGCTCTCTCCTTTATCCACTCACATAGGACAGATTTCAGCATGGATAATACTCAAACATAAGCCCACAGGCACAGCTAAGCCACGTGCACCTGTGTCAAATCACTGCAGTTGCCATAACAGTACACACCAGTTTTGTGTTTCTCTTGTGTCCAGCTACACCTCTCACACAGGCAGGAACAAAGGGCACATACACTCTGTTGCTGTCATCAGCAGAAAGAATTAAGCACTATGGAAAAACTCAGGCCAGATGAAGGCAGACACATTTGGTGCTCCCACCCAAAAAGCTCAATTGCTCATTACAAAATGCCTGTGTAACTGCTTGGTGGGCACAGAGAGATGGGGTGATCTGCTTCTTTTGGGCAGTGCTTTGCCTGAATATCTATTCACAGCAATACAAGTCCCACAGGAAAGCATGCCAAGCATATTTACACCATGTCTACATCACCATGGGAAAGAAGAGATGAGAATTCTGTGGGGACTGAGAGCCAGGAGGCCTGTAAGCCTGGCAGAGTTTCCTCTACATATCCTTCTGCTCTGGATCTTGACTACTTCTTAAGAGGACTGAGATACATGCCCTACTCCAGCCTCAGCCCCACTTACAAAACAAGGCCCTGCCTTTCTCTGACATCAACTGGCAAGACAAGTTCTCCAAGGGCAATACTTGCACTGCCTTGTTAAGTACAAAGGCATAAGGTCTCTGATGCTGGCTGAGGCAGACACGGGACACTGACCATAGCCATCTGTACGAAGCCAGCCAGTAGGATGGGACTGGAAACAAGGAGGGGTGGGGGTCAGCAGGCTGTGCCTGGGCACCTACCTTGGCCATCTGGGGCTCCTCATGGAAAGCACAGTGCTGGATATCAGTTGCAGGCTTTGTGCAGGTTGTCCGGGCAATCTCCACTTCCATTATGTACTTGATTCCAGCCACGATCTGCAACAAGACAAGTCGGCAGAGGCAACTTTACTCAGAGCACACGGAGAAAGGCTCTCTGCCGAGAGAGCCTGGCAGAGAGGCAGGCAGTGTTCCTGTTACACGATGGAAAACAGACTCCGAAAGTACAGAGAGAATTGAGTGTGGCAACCTCCATGAAAGGGGCACTTGGCACCTCCACAGAAACAGGAAATACAATCCAAGTAAACATGTCCCACAAAGCAGCTACCTTAGCAATAAACAGAGACATGTGTTAACTCATGAGCAGCGCAGGGAAGCCACTGGCTCCTTCCACAGCGCGCAGCACTCAAGGTCACTCAGACTGAGAGAAGTCAAGATACAAAAAAGGGCTTTTATTCTTTTTCCCCACCTTCTGTGGGGAAAAAACCGACAGCCTGCAGAGACCCCCAGGCTCGCAGTCTGCCCTTTCTCCAAAGGAATCCAGCCTCGCTGCCAGCCCCCTAACGGAGAGTGCCGCCCCCCGCTCGCTCACCTGTTTCTTGGCGCTGATGACCCGCACCACCCGGCTGGAGTACATGTCGTTGCTGGCCCTGTTGTACGCCGTCATGGCGAACTGCAGAGCCCGCTCCAGCCCCTCATCGTTCTCCGGGTCCTCGATGGGCTGCGGGGCGCCCACCATCCGCGGGAGGAGCTCGGCGCCTCGCACGGCGCCGGCGAAGAAGAGGAGGGCGGCTGCCAGCAGCACCACCACAGACAGTCTATCGGCCGCCATAGCTGCGCTCTGCCAGCTCCCCCTCACGGCCGCCGCCATTTTAAAGCCGCGGGGCGGGGCGGGGCAGCGCGGCAGTAGGCCCCGCCCCCGGACCAACCACGCCCAAAAGAGACAACGCCCCTCCGGTCAGGCCCCGCCCACTCACGCCTCCCTCGGTAGGGCGTGGCCGAGCGGTGAGTGACTGCTCTGTCAGCCAATGGCCGTGCGGCGTTCCCCACCACGCTCTGTCGCGCGCTCTCGGGCCCCGCCCCGCCGTCCCTCAGCGGCGGG